TGTCGTAAACTGAAAGAACAATTAGAAGTTGATCCAGAGCTTTTTTCGAAGGCCATCACTGGTGACGTAAACGGGTGCTATGGCTACGACCCGGAAACGAAGCAGCGATCAAGTCAGTGGAAGCATCCAACGACACCTCGACCCCCAAAAAGAGCGTCAAGTGAAGTCCAATGTCAACACGATACTGATTTATTTCTTTGATGTGAAAGAAATTCTCCACAAAGAATTTGTTCCTCCTGGTCAAACTGTTAACCAGGTTTTTTACTTGGAAGTCCTGAAGTGTTTGTGAGACAAGGTGAGACGAAAACGCCCTGACCTGTGGCAAAGTGGAGGGTGGTGGTTGCTTCACGACAATGCGCCAGCGCACAACGCCTTGAGTGTGAGACAGTTTCTGACCAAGAATAGCATGATCCCAATTCCCCACCCTCCCTATTCACCCAATCTCGCCCCCTGCGACTTTTTTTTTTGTTCCCCTGAATGAAGAAAGTCATCAAAGGAAAACGTTTTTCAGATGCGGAAAAGGTTAAGAAGAAAACGATGGAGTCATTAAAAAACATAACTTTACAAGAGTTCCAGGATTGCTTTGAACAGTGGAAAACACGTTTGGACCGGTGCATTGCTTCAAATGGAGAATACTTTGAAGGTGATAATGCATACAATAAATTAAAAAAATGATTTAATTTTTCTAAACGTGCAACAATAAATGAATAAAATTATAATACACAATTCCCGTTACTTTTGGTTCCCACTCGTATAATATCCAATAAGAATTATAATCATTATCAAATTAACATCTAGAACGGTGTTTCTTATCATTTTTCACTTCAGGTTGCACTTGTAGACTAAATAAAACGCTGGGGTGCATTTGAAATTTTAATAAGGAAAAATTAGTCACGAAATATGAAAACAGGAAAATAATAAAGAAGTTTCCTGAAATAGGCATTTGTTTTTAAGTCATTAAATTGCTTGGTGTCTCAAGCGTTTTAAAGAATAAAGATTTTTTAAATATAAAAATAATTCATAAATTACTCTTTTGTTAACATGGGGCGTACCTGGCCACATTTCAGGACACATTAGTGTGGCCGGGCACACCAGTTGAGAAACGCTGTTAGAAAGTCAATATTTACTTAAATCTATAAATCAAAATCCATAGTGATGTGATGACTCAGAATTTTACGTCTTTAAAGAAGATTTAAATAGACCAGAGTTTTTAAATATATATTTTCAAAATACTGTCATTAGTAAAAAACATATACCCATTATTTTTGTTTCTATTTCATTCCTTTAAAGTATTACAAAATATTATTTTTATAAAAATTTAAACACGAATCTTTTGTTGATTGGGTTAACCGCGGATAAGCTGTGAAGAAAGCCGAGAAAGTTCTTTCTAGTAAAGAGTGCAAATTTTTTTTTTCTGCTTTCACTGGTTTTAGTTTATTTTCTTGTTTTCGTTCCAAGTTTTTTTTTTTTCAATCTTTTCTAAATCACATCAGTGGAAAATATATTAAATGAAATAATTTAAATTTCGTTTAGGCCACTGGACACAGCTTGGGTTAATTTCAAAATTACGCTCAACTTAATTTTGTATTTGCGTAACATTAGATATGCATACATAGACATAAAAACAAATATGCATTTTTGTCGTGGTAAATTGCATGTTCTAATGTAACAGTTTATAATAAATATCTATTGCTCTACTCTTGTATTGAGCCCTTTTTTGAATTAATATTATGAATGTTTGAATTTATATTCTTTTCGTTCTTTTACATTTGGATATATATATATATATTATATATATATATATATATATGTATGTATGTATGTATATGTATATATATGCGATAAATATAGCCACAGTTTAATCTGAAAAATACATTTAATATTCTTGGCGTAAATCAAAAATTTTAAATTAAAAAAAAATAATTTAAAAATGTACTATTAAATAGGTGTCTCCAAAGGAATTGCGATACCTAAGGTTTCAAATAAATTTTTAAAAATGAAAATTCTTTCTTGAAGCTTTTATTTTAGTTTTAATTTCAAGCTAATAGACTAAATTTAATATTTCCAATAAGCAAAACACTTTGATGTATTTCAAAACTAATTTAAATTAACTGGAAAGATGTTTTTAAATCGCTTATTTTAAGCATTGTCAGCCATTTTCTCTTTATTAAAAACCTCTTTCAAAATTAAAATATACTGTTTGAATATTAGTTGATTTAAAGTTTAATTAATCTGATCTGAAACTAATACTACTTTTAGTTTAAAATATCGCATTTTGTTAGCACAAAGGTAGTTGGTTTTATTAGGTGTTGTCAACTCTATTGACAGATTGACAACCGGAAATTTAACCAATTTTCTATAGGTGGGACATATTTGTAAACGAATATAACGTGAACGAATTTTTCCTATAATTCTGAACTACCGACTAATCATAAAAAATTAGGAAAATATTTTCCGTAATCTAGTTTTTTATTGGATTTTTAAGTACTTTGACTTTAAATTAACTATAGTTAACGCTCTTATTTTCTGATGATGTCATGTATGTACCTCCGTATTTACAAAAATCGGCAAGTTTATATACACACACACACAAAATTCTTTTTAAAATACCGGGGGTCGGTGAATTGTAGTAAGATTATTCGTTTATGATTAGTAAATACAGTTTTTACTTAATAACAGTGCCACCTAACCTGTACAAATTAATACAGAATTTTAAAAGATTTCAAACTTTATAAATTATTCTAATTAAAATTCAAGAAAATGAAAACAATTCTAGTAAAAATTCATTATTCATCGAAATCTTTTTTTACTTAAGACCATAGTGTCTATAATATATCATATTTATAAAAAATAATTAAAAGCATTTTTAATTAAATATTGTTTTATTGCATTTTTTTATTTTGCGACTCAGAGCAGTTTTCGGTAACTGCGATTCCTGTTTTGACAAAAAATTGGAGAATTTAAATTCTACAAGGAGTTCTGTTTTTAATTAATATAAACATTCAGAGTTAGAAATTTAATTTCTCGAAATTTCATAAAACTGAATAAGTGGTAGATAAAAGATCAAAGAAAAATAGTTTTACCATAATTATCTAAAAAAAAAAAAGGATTTCTAAAATATTTGATTTTTTTCAAGTATTTCCAAATCAATGTGCTTTTCCCGCAAAAAGACGCTAAAATTTCCTATACAAATTTACGGTTTCCCCACTGACTCAAGAAAAAAAAATTAACCACAATTTTTAACGTTTTCAAAAGGATCCGAAATATATTTTAATAATCAAAAAATCTTTTAGTCTTTCCTCTTTATAACAACATAAATATTTTTACGAAAAAACTTTGTTTTTATTAAGTTTTATTAAACTTTTTCATCAGGTATACTTACTTAAAGCGAATTTTTAAAGGTACCTGCAATTAAATAATTGATAAGTTACGAATTATATAATACTTATAAATTTACAATAATGATGTAATTATATATGCATATATATATATATATATATATATATATATATATATATATATATATATATATATATATACACTTTAGTTTAGGACATTACATCGAAAAACATGTCAAAATCGCTACACAACTGCAGTCGTGTTTCGATGCGTATCAACGCATCTTATCAGGCGATTGTAAATTTTACAATATCCTAAAACAAAGATTATTGCTCCACTTTGTACTGAGCTCTGTTTTAAATTAAATGGTACGAACATTGAAATTGTACTCTTTCGTGCTTAATTCTATATATATATATATATATATATATATATATATATATATATATATATATATATATATATATATATATATATATATAAATGACACACAAGTCAACACTTACAGGCGACAGACTGTTTCATGCTAGACGCAATCGTCAGGCCTGACGATTTCGTCGAGCATGAAACAGACTGTTGCCCTCTAAATGTTGAATTCTATGTTCACTTTATATTTACACTCTATCTTTTGATATTGAGCACTTTATCCCATAAATATAGCACATCTTAAGACTATATTTCTTTATATATATATATATATATATATATATATATATATATATATATATATATATATTACTCCTAATGTTGTTATATTGGATACTCGTAATTGAATGAGATGCCCTCATTTTTATTTTACAAAGTGTGTATCGGCCTGTGTATATAATACACATCTTTTAAAGTCAAAATAAAATGATTCTAAATTTAAATACTATAACATCTGGGAAAAGAACTCTAGCGTGTTAAGAATTTAACATATAAACATTAGAATTATCGTTCGTTCATTATGATAAAGTATAAGTATCAGATGTGTTAATAAGTTTGATAGATTAACCAAACTCCTGGGCTTAATGAGAGTTTCGACGTGAAACATGAATTGGCAATTATATATATATATATATATATATATATATATATATATATATATATATATATATATGAAGAATTACTGGATTTCTATTAATTACCAGTATTTGAAATAGTCGGCTTTTTTGTATATGTATATTTATATATGTGCCTTTATAAGCAATGATACATAATATGTTTAAACACACATATACACACACACACACACATATATATATATATATATGTGTGTGTGTATGTATATATATGATTGATTTTTTTACGGCTTATCAACCTTTTTCATGTAATTTTAATGCCAGGAAATATTTTTAGATTGTGTGAATCTTTAGGGTAAATAATAATTTCTACTATTACAAGTTCTACTAATTAACCCATAGGTGGGGGAAAAGAGGCGGACACATCTTTTCCAAGGCTATTTGAGCGTAAATGAATATAACGAACCCGAATGGAATTGGAATTCAGCTCGCTGATTTCTCGCCAATTTTCGAGCCGTTATCCATTACACCACCCTCACATCCAAGCTTATAGAACCTGGTATTCCTAGTAGTCGCCCATCAAGGTAGTAACCAGACTCGACGTTGCTTAACTTTGGTGATTGTACGAGAACCGGTGTTCCAACAATAATATGGCCGTAAGCCTGTGAGTTTGTGTGTGTAAAATATCATACATGCTTTCGTGAGCAACGGAAGTACTCGTAATACGCAGAGTATTCAGAGGGTAACTCAGTCCACTGTAATAACGAATTCGTTTCACTTCTTACAAAGAAGGTGGATGGTAGAATTTCTGGTTTTATAGAATTCCTTTCACAATTCTGCTACTATTTATATTCTTTTGATGCTTGTAATTTAGTATTTATGAGATGAGATAAAACAGGCAGGCGCTGGTAAGTTACGCGTTTCCACTGTCAAAGATACTATCTCTTTTAAATACTGTCTTTTCCCGCGTTTGGTGTCTGGCGAAGTTGCCGCTGTCGATAGGAAAAAATAAAAGAAAATAAAAGCCTAGACTGCCTGTTCTTAACATAGAAACATTCTAGTGCTAGCGATTATTGGCTCGTTCATTATCTTGCATCTGTTCTCCCAAAGCTATGGTCAATAAGTCGGGAGAATTCTTCTGTTGTTTGACAGATTGGTGGCTTCTAACAATTTTATATTATTGCTTCACTGTATAATGTGAGATCGTGTCGGAGATAACTTGGTTTGAAGGAAGACTGTAGAGCAACAGGGAAATCACACGTCAAAGAATTTAATATTTGAAACTTATTTATCTTCTTTTATGTGCCATGTCCATTCAGGACTTGAACGACTATGACTCTTCCTAGAATCCTGTCCTTTGTAGCTAAGCAAGATTTGTCTTTTTTACTCAAAGGGAGGTATGATTTTGTACCTCTTATTAAGGTTTGATTTTGTACCTCTTATTAAGGTTTGATTTTGTACCTCTTATTAAGGTTTGGTTTTCTAAATTTTAGCAACATTTGTCTTCATAACTCTTAACATGGCTTATTTTGTAGCTCTAAGTAAGGTTTATCTTTTTTGGTCTTAGTAAGGTTTGCCTTTGTAGCTCTTAATAAGGTTCATCTTTTTTGCTTTAGTAAGGTTTGCCTTTGTAGCTCTTAGTAAGGTTTATCTTTTTTTGTCTTAGTAAGGTTTGCCTTTGTAGCTCTTAGTAATAAAAACTTCATCTTTTTTGTCTTAGTAAAGTTTGCCTTTGTAGCTCTTAGCAAGGTTCATCTTTTTTGGTTTTAGTAAGGTTTGCCTTTGTAGCTCTTAATACGATTCATCTTTTTTGCCTTAGTAAAGTTTGCCTTTGTAGCTCTTAGTAAGGTTTATCTTTTTTGGTCTTAGTAATTTTTAGAAAATGAAAAATCTTTCTTGAAGCTTTTATTTTAGTTTTAATTTCAAGTTAATAGATTAAACTTAATATTTCTAATAAGCAAAATACTTTCAAAACTGTATTTCAAAACTAATTTAAATTTGAAACTGCTGATTTTAGCGCTATTTTTAGCCATCTTTCATCAGAATATAAATCTCTTTGTTAAAAAATCTTCCAAAAACAAAATATACGTTTCTGAAAACTTTGTTTGCGAAATATTACCTGATTTAAAGTTTGATTAATCTTAATTGAAACGATTATTATAAGTTTAAAATATCGGAGAATATATGTTTTTAACACGGTAGTAGCTGTTGACAGCTTGAATGGATGGAAGTTTATTTAATGTTTTTCTACGGTGGATATATCTGCAAAAAATAATTGACGAATATAATGTGACTGGCTTTTTATATAATTTACTCACCAATCTTAAAAAAATTGAAAAATATTCTTCGTAATTTAATGTTTTATTGAATTTTAGATACTTTGCCTTTAAATTTCCTGTAGTTATCGCTCTTATTTTCTGTCGTATATGAAAATCCTTATCTACAAAAATCCTCACGTTTATGCGTATACAAAAAACATTCAAAACTCTTTTTAAAATATTGGTGTTCGATGAATTGTACTAAGCTTTTCCTTTCTGCTTAGTAAATATAGTTCTTACTTAATAAAAAATATCACCTAAAAGGCAAAAAGTAAGATAGAATTTTTAAGCATTTAAAACTTTATAAATTATTCTAATTAAAAAATTTAAAAAATGAAAACTATTCTTGTAAAAATTCCTTAATCATCGAAAAAACTTTTTATTTTTAAGACAATAGTGCCTATAATATATCTTATTCATAAAAACAATTAAAATGTCTTAGTGGCATTGCATTTTTTATTTTACGATTCAAAGCAGATTTTCTTTATCTAGTGTTCTTGTTTTACAAAAAAAATAAAAATAAAATAAAATAAAATAAAATAAATAAATAAAATAAATAAATAAAAAAATGATGATTTAAATTCTCGAAAGAGTTTTGCTTTTAACTAAAAAAATCAAATTCTCGAAATTTCTTAGAATTAAATTAGTGGCAGATAACAAATGTAAAAATATATTTTAACAAATCTATCTAAAAAGAAAGATTTCGCAAATCATTTAATTAATTTGTGAATAAGTTCTGAAAGTTTTATCAAAATCCGACAATTATTTCATTTTTGGAAGAATTTCGAAATCAATGTTTTTTTCACCACAAAAAAAAGACTCTAAATAATCTTTGGTCCGCCGCTGACGTAAAAAAAGGAGATTTTTAACCAAAATTTTGAACGTTCTAAAAAAGATCGTAAATAATATTTAATAATCAAAAAAAAATACTTTGGTCTTTCCTCTTAATAATAACATATAGATTTTGACTACAAAACATTGTTTTTTTATAAAGTTTGGGGTATTTTTTTTATCACGGTATGTTAATTTTTTAGCCAATCAGTGGTGGTACCTATATTTACTGGATACATGTGCTTGAGTGGACGTCTTTGTTTTTTAACTATACATTTTCATATACAGACTTGGGTTTTCGAGAGTTTTTTAATCAAGAAAATGTGCCCTCCGGAAGATTACGAACCTGCCTCCACCATATATAAGGGAAAACCTCCGTATAGCCTGGAGTATTTTTAGAGCAACAGCCATAAAGACATGTTTGAATTAAGCTTGTGAAAAAACTTTAACTTGCAGCAGTTTTCGAACTCTTCCCAAACATCTTCTTTTGCCTGAAGGCTCTCTTTCGTTCTCCACAACTTGGACTACAAGTTTTATATTGGGTCAATATATATGGAGGCTGGGGTAATATTCCCTTAATTTTATATCTTTGAAAATCCCTTTTTTGGCAATATGGACAATAGTGAGTTTTGAAGAATATGATGGAGAATTGTTTTGCATGAATATGCACTTTAGCTTAAAGCTCAGTTTTTGCGACCTGTACTACTCAAAATTCTTTTGCCCATGAATTTAAATAATACTCTATATTTATCTTGATACTATCATCAATTTTGAAACGACCTATGCCAGTCTAGATTATTAAACTCATCTGTTTTCTTCTAAGTCGTACTGGTTGATTATTTCCTTGAAGAACCCAAAGTGTTGCCTAGTCGTCATGTCTCTCCAATGTAACCCTACATTCATCATTAAAAATTTGGTTGCTTTCATATCTTTCTAAATAATCTTCATATTTTCTCCCTGTTTACATTCGAAACACAATCTTCATAAAATATCTATCACTAGTCAATCAGGTTTTCTTCTTATCCACCATTTAATCTGTTTCATATCTCTTTTTGCGACGTTTGAAAAGTTTTTTTCTTTTTATTATTTTACCAACGTTTTCAACTTTTAGTTTCACTTTAGTTATATATTTCTGACGGCCTATAGCAATCTTTATCTATCCGGAGTTAAAAAAAAATATCCATATAATTGTGCTATTATTGGTAAAAATGTAGTTTTAAGGCACGCTATATTTATGTGCAAAAACGCTCAATATCAGAGATAGAGCATATGTAATTATAAAATATAAATTGAACATTGAGGTCAACACAAAGCAGCGACAGTTTGTTTCATGTTTGAACGCAATCTTCAGGCCATGTGTGCTGTGTATTGGCTCTTCTATTTATATATGCTGCTCACTGGTGCATTGTGGGTAATAAGGTCTATTGTATACTTCTAAGTGTTATTGTGACAGCGGTAACGGTTATGTTTCAAATTATTCTAAAAGCTACTGAGTAGGAATAATATTGAATCCAAATATGGTTAATAGTAGATATTTTATAGTGTTTTTAATTTTTAACTAGTTATTTATTGTTGATTACTTATTTGTTGTTGATTATTATTATTACATTTACTTGTGTTTATGAGAGCATTCGTAGTTTGTTAATTTGTTAATTATTTACTTAATTTTTCTTGTGATTTTTTGTTTATTTTATTTATTTATTTTTCTCGGGGGTTTATAATTGTATTTGTCTAGTTTAAGGTATTGGCTTTGTTTAAAGTATGTTACATTATCAGCATTGTATATAGTGTATATATTTGCATTCATCAAGATGGTATTTTACAACATATCCACTTTCAGTTTTCTATATTTAAGTAAAAAAGTGTTTTCGCGGCTGTATTTTGAGATAAGTTCTGATTGTTTATCTAATAATTTGTGTTGACCTGGAAAGGTTATTTTCTCCAGACATAGTTTACAGATGTTGGATTTATGATTATAAGCTGATTTTTATATTTTATAATTGTAATATTATATATATTTATTTACAATATAATATGCAACACTTGGTTTGCATAATAAAATCTTATACCACCGTATATAATAAGGGCTATATAAACATAGTCTGAATACTGTACTGAGATATGTGAATTAGTTAATATAAATGATTTCAAGCGTCTATATCTGTTTATATGCTGGAAAAAAAGACTATCGATCTATCTGTTAGTAGGATGGATAATAGTACCCGAATCAAAATGAAGATGATGAAACAAAAATGGAAAAGCTTAATAAATAACTTTTTTCGCCGACCTCTGTTGATTTCTGTTTCTTCAGGTCAGAAAGAAAGACAAAATTGGGTGCAAGGAAAACGCGTTGGGATTTTTCAGGATAAGTTGGGCCATAAATCAAAATACCTTATCAGATCCGACGACCAGAAACCGGAAAAAGGTGTGTTTGTTTTTTCGCTTGCTTATATATATATATATATATGTGTGTGTGTGTGTGTGTGTGTGTTACTGCTGTTACTGCTGTTA